GGGGGGGGAGGGGAAGAGCCAACAGATCCTGGGCGCAACAACTTCGCGGTGATAGCTCCTGACGTGGTACTCCGTATGACGCCGTAGAAGACCAGATATTCGGAACGGTTCTGCTGTGTTCCTGCTGTCAAGGATCTAGAGGCCTGTTAAGCTTGGTGGCATAACCGGCAAACACTACTGGCACCACTGATCAGATACCACGGCCGTCGACTGGTTCTCCAGAACAACCCAGGCAGCCACTGGCAGAATCTGCATACGCACTCCGTCCTGGGCTAGAAGAACATTGGTTGACATGCCTGGCTAGTATCTGCGCGTCGAGGCATACGGAAGGGTATAATACATATGGATTGCTGAGGCAAGGCAGCTTCGGCTTCGGAGAATAAAATCAGCATCCTAGTTGGCGTTGCCAGACCCTATTTTCCACGCCTGAACATGAACAGTAGGAGGAGCAAGGGGAGAAAGGCAGCGGCGCCACCTTTGGGCGGACTTCTCCATCCTCGCCTTGAATAAACCGTCGAGTGACATTTCGACCTAGAAAGGCCAAGTGCATCATGTATAGGCACGATGATGTTTCTCTGGCATCATAGACCAGGTCGAGCACGTACAATGAATGCTACGCCATAACCGTCGTGTCCTTCGTCAAAGAGTAAGGTGGGCATATAATGAACCCTTGATATGAATAAGACCTCGAAGTTGCTGGTTCAAGTGGACACCCGTAAGGAATCCGACAAGGTTTGGCATACTCGAGTTATGCAACTCGCTCGCCTGGCTGGATCCATCCTCGGAGATGCGTCCACATACATGAAAGGCTGCATTTTGGGGGGTCGTTGGAGTGGATCGACCGGTGTGTGCGTTTTTTTCTGCAACATTGAAACCCACGGGCATCGCGTACCGTGCACGGGTAAGGCAATGGCAGGCGAGACAAACAAGGCCGACAAGGCAATGATTGTTCCCTCAGCTGGGCAAGGTCCTGTCATGACGGCGCTGGTTGACTTGCCAGAACAGGACTGGAAAGCTGGCACAGCTAAACAGCCAGAGCGAGTGTGTATGTATGTAGTATGTATGTATGTGTGTATGGTGTGTGCATGTGTGTGTGTGTGTA